CAGATTCGTAGCACTTTCCATGTTTTGCAGGTGCGAAAATGCATATTGGATAAGGACGTAGTGGTGTCCTTAGACGATATTCAGGTTGATGAGTGCCTGAACTATGTTGAGAGGCCGGTGGCCATTCTGGAAAGAAAAATGAAGGTTTTGCGCAGCAAGGAGATACCTTTGGTAAAGGTACGGTGGCAGCACCAGAAGGGCTCCGAATGGACTTGGGAGCCGAAGGCGGAGATACGAGAGCATTATCCCGAGTTATTTACCGTGGCAGACTTCTAGGACGAAGTCTAGTTCAAGTGGGGGAGAATTATAACATCTCGATTTTTCAGGGATGGAATTATTCCCATTTATGCATATCCTTCTTTGGAATACGGCATGGTGAAGCCTCACAACGACGTGTTGAGAACTTTTAGGGATAGATTATCAATTGATATTTAAAATGTATTTTAAGTTAATCTTGGACGTTTTAGTGAACGTACCATCAATTTCTTTCGTTAGTAGATGACCACAATAAACATTTACTTTTGCAAAAAAGAGGAAACCACAAGAAATATGCACATTAAGATGAAGATCTAAAAAGGGTTAACTTCTGCAAAAAAAAAAAAGAATAAAATTGAGGTACCTGAAGGAGAAAATGAAGAAGATCATGGTGATGTCCATAGCCTCTCAGAGTTCAACCAACAAAAACCCACAAAATTTGAAATCGTGGTGCGTATCTACGTCAATGGATAACATGCTAAGTAAGAGTAATAGAAAGACATTGAACATAACCACACACATTGTACCGTGTAACAGTGTTTGATATGAAAAAGAACTTCTCATGTTTATTTTATCAAACACATAGAGTGTACCATCAAATTAATTTTTCCTTCACCAAAATCATGTACAAATGGTTTCTAAATATCATTAGATCATCACAATCAAATACCACACAAACTCACATCCACACATTAATGATTATAAAAAGATCAAAAACAAAAAATGTAATATGTGAATGACAGCTTAAAGAGGGAACCTGGATGAACAACGAATTGAAGAAGAGCAATGGTAGACGGATAGAAACTTCGAGATCATGACAATTGTAGGCAAAATAACAATCATATTTTACAGGTAATTGTGAATATGAAATCGAATTTCTTCCACAAATATTGGGATTTTACCTATCAATCGAAAGATTATCGGCAACCTACTTAATGTGGCGGAGCTTGAACAAATTATTTGGGGGGGGGGGGGGGGGGGCGAAACTAAAACTGTAGTTATTAAAAATAAACAACAGAGGCCTAAGCCTAATTTTTATATTTTAATGTCTAATATATATAAAATATAGTTGGTAAAACTAGTTGCTAGTAAAAAACAGGGGGGGGGGGGGGGGGAGCCCCCCTAGCCCTTATAATCCTCCATTGATATAACGCCTTAAGATAGAAACTACTACTATCAATTTACTTAAACAAAAATTCAAATTTGAGAGACCTATAGCCGATTTAACAGGCCGTTAAAGATCAATGCAATCTCCGTGAAGTAATTTGAAGGGTATAACGATTCCTTATTTATTGTTATTAGACAAAACTTCTAAAATGGTCCCTGTGGTTTTCGAAAATATCAAGTTGAATCCCTAAGTTCGAAAAACCTCACCGATCGTCCCTGTGGTTTCAAAACTTTTAACAAGTTATCATTTTTGTTAACTCCGTTAGCTTTTGGCCGTTAAGTGAATGGCATTTCAGTCATTTCACTACTACAAGGACCATTTATGAAGTTTTGCCTCATTTAAAAAAAAGAAAAATATATATAACTATTTAATATAAAGGGGGCCCACCCACTTCTCTCTCTCTCTCTCTCTCTCTCTCTCTCGTTTTCTTTTCCGTCTCACGAACATCACAACGAAACCAAATATTCACCCACTACTATTTCCCTCTCGTTCGTATCTCACCGGCTGACCAAATTCAGGATTATATTGAATGATCAATGATAATCGGAAAGTATAAGGTGGGGCGAGATGAGTCGAAGTGATGTAGCGGCGGCGGTGGTTGGTAGTAAGTTGGAGACTCCATCAAGTTGATTACAGCTTCTGCAATTGGTGGAGCACTTTGATTTCGATTCAGTTCGTTGAGATTTATGGTGTTGTTAAATTGGGTTTTCTACTCCTCTCATGAGGGGTGGAAGACAACAATGGCGAAAACGAGAGAAAAATGTGAGTGTGGTATATATTTATTATGTATTCAAGTTTGATTATGCAGGAGGTAAACATCCTCCTGCATCTTCTTCGTTCTCAGGTTATCGCACCAGAGAAAAAAAAACCAATTTTCGTGGCTTTGAATGTGGAACTCGACTGGAGTTTATTATTTACGAAGGGTTTAGGAGGACTTATGGTGGTGGAGTAGCAGCAGCCGCACATGTGGTGATGGCGGTGATTTGGAACAACGACGGCGGTGGCAGGAGGCCACTCCGGTGGTCTTCTGATACCCTGTTCTTGCTTCTTTCGACTGTATTCAATTAAGGGAGTGTGGGGAAGGTCACTAAGCAGCTTAGGGTGGTTTTTCCAGTGAAAAAGTGAGGTGGCGGGTGATTTTTAATGCAGCGGCAGGAGGTGGCATTGGACAGTAGGAGGCTGCTTCGGTGGCCTTCTACTTCTTCTTTCTTGCTTAAAATTACCAGAGAAAACAAATGGGATGAGGGAGAGAGCTGTGGTGATCGAAAACAGCAGCAACAAAGGGTTGGGGATGTGCTCTCCGGTGGTAGCAGTGAAGGGTGGGGTGGTGGCAGTTTGGTGGCAGCAAGGTGGATGCCACTTCTTCCTTCCTTTTTCTGGGCAGAAACAGACGAGAGGGAGATGTGAGGTGGTGTTTGGGGTGACGTTTTTGATCAGAAGAAGGAGGTATAAGGGTGGTTTGGGTGGTGGGTTATGGTGGTTTCTTGGTTGTTTAGAGAGAGAGAGAGAGAGAGAAGTGGGTGGGGCCCCCTTTATATTAAATAATTATATATATTTTTCTTTTTTTTTAAATGAGGCAAAACTTCATAAATGGTCTCTGTAGTAGTGAAATGACCCGAATGCCCTTCACTTAACGACCAAAATCTAACGGAGTTAACGAAAAATACCATTTGTTAAAAGTTTTGAAACCACAGGGACGATCCGTGAGGTTTTTTGAACTTAGGGATTAAACTTGATATTTTCGAAAACCACAGGGACCATTTTTGAAGTCTTGTCTTGTTATTAAATATATTATAAGATAAATGATGATTTTGAAATTATACCTCCTCATTTTAGTAATTTTGTATTAACATAAATTAGAATTTGAGAGGGAAAAATATTACTAAAATGTACGAGAAAATGACTAAGATGTACGAGAAAATGACACGTGCCTAACACAGACAGGCTTATAAAGGTTACACATGCCACACACTTTTTATTAGAAGACAAAAAGAGAAGATTAGATCTATTTTCTTAGATTTTAGGTTTTCTATTTAATTCGACAAATTCCTTCATTTAGATCTCGAACGTCTATAGCAAATAATGATCCCTCGCAAAATTTCATTGAAAATAAGTTTATATATTGCGATGGTTTTATGCTGATAAGACGTTCTTGAGTCGTGGTAATTCGGACTTCTTTTTGTCACGCTGGCTTCTCTTAATCGCGTCGAAACTACCACCCCTTTTCATTTGACTATTCATATCGTTCAAATAAGCAATCTTATAGCTACTTCATTGTTCGTTTTTTTTAGATTAATTAGGCTTCTTAAAAAGGTATGTTTAAAATTCCTCTGGCTCATTCAGATTTTCTTTTCTTTTTTTTCTACCGAATATGATTCACTTTGATCATGAGTTAACTTCAATTTTTCTTGAAGAATGTACAAAAATCGTGATTGATTGCTTCTCAACATGTGGTTGAGCACAATTGAATTTGTTTCCGCAAACAATTACCATAAAATTAAATTTACTTTATTGCATATTCACTGTTTTTGCTGTTTAAGAGTGGTTTTAGTTATGATATTAACTTTTTAAGGCTATTTTTATGCCTGGAAGTGTTTGTTAAGGGTTTTTTAAAGTGGTTATTCGATTATTGCTACTTCAAGTGGTTATCTATTGTTATATGCTTATTTAATTAGGGTAAATAATCATAAGGTATGGTAGAGCAAAGTTACTTATACACCGCTATTTTATACATCATTAAAACTATTATTGTATTATATAATTAGCCCTAACTTGCTTCCCCAGAGCTCATTTTTAACTCAGCATTTGTTGTAGAAGTTTAAGAGGCAAAACCTGAAACTGAAGTTGTGTGATTACATGTTAATTTTGATTGGTTTGATAATTAGGTAATTAAACTGTTTCTGCTCATGATTATCTATTCATTTAAGGGTCAAACAACCAGATAATAAGTTTCCAATAATTAGTTTGCTACTAGCTGTAGAAAAACTTATCATCAAAAGGAGAAGTAAAATTACTATAAACCCTTATTTAATACGTTCTATCCATCAAAACTGATTATTACAACTTCAAACAGGAAAAGGATGTCCAAACACTATCTACTACAAGGATTCTAATTATTCATTACAAACTACGTATCCAAACATCTCCTTAATACCCTTTGAAGTTGAGTACTATAAAAAATAGCATATGGGGGACCTAGGTGACACATTCATGGATAAATTAATTTGAAAAAGGCAAAATGGGTGGAAAAAATCCCAACTCCAAATGTGTATAACTTTTGATCCTTCAGACCCACTTTAGACCCACTTTATATGGACGGAAAGCTTCTATGGGTTGGACCTAATAAATTTCCCACCTTTGGGACTTTTTGATTACTTATTGTTCTTTATTTATGTTCTATGATCAATAGGTGACTCTTTCTTTTCTTTTTCTCTCATCAAACGTATTTGTTTCTTTGTGTTCAATATGGAAATTACCCTACTGCATCATAATGATGTTATCATTTTTTGACCTTTTTTCATGTCTCTAATGCAGTTTTTGGCACTTGAGGGTTTATAGATAGCCGTTGAAGGAAAAGATGATGTACGATCTTTAAATGCTACAGATTGGCCATCCCATAGGCACGAGAATAATCTAAATCAAAGATTTTCACAAACAACCAGAAGTGTTTCAATATCCATTCCTGTGAGTTCCATTGAATTGAACTCCATTTCAACAAGTCATGTTGCCTTACTTAATAAAAGAAAATGTCCTGATGTACAGAGACAAGAGAGGGAAGCTGTGGAAGAGAAACAGACTAGAAATCATAACCATCAATTGGGAGTTAATGATGAAGAAAAAAATAAGCACTTATTGAAGTCAGGACAATTGGGGATGTGCAATGCTTCTTACTGTACATCATGCCCAATATCTTGCTATTATGAGAGACCACTGACCTCAAGAGTTTCACAGCGGTTTGATCACTATGTATTACTCTTTTCTTTGGAAAGTACTAAACATACTTGATTTCAATTTTCCCTTTTAGAACATATTGGTTCTTTAGATAATTTCAGTACCCATGTAACTAAACATACTTGTTCACAAGGCTGTTCAATTTTTATATCTAAATCATATGCTATAGTAGCTTGAATACTTACATGATTGCTGTTGTGGTGTTGTCTTAATTGCCTATATCATTAGTTTATATGGAATATTTAGACTCACTGGACGTAAGATTGTTGTATATTTAATTGCTGCAAAACTATTACTCCATGCACTCTTGTCACAATGAATTGCTTACTTTTGTTCATGCAGTTGTATTTTTTTGTTCTTTTGCAGAATGATGATGTTCAATGTCGAGGTGCAAAGGCGTGGAAACGGGAAAAGTTATCGTTACTAAAACATTTTATGTTTGGGGTCATCAATCTGTTAGATTACTTGGGTTGAAACTTGTGTAAATAACAAGCAAAAAAATAAACCCTTATGCAACAAGTAAAAAGAATATGTGAGAATGGAAGAATTGAAACAAATATATTACTTGAACAAAAGTAAACTAGAAAAGGTCCTGCATAAAAAAAATACCACACCATTCATCCTATTTATACTAGACAAATAAGTATCCTACTTGAATTCTAAAACTATGCAGGATATAAAATAAAAACTTAAATATGGCTACTTTCCTAATTGCCCATTATTTAAACTAAACAAAATAAACTCCTAAAATAATAAAACCGATTAATCCAACAATCACCCCTTAATCGGTTTGGTCATACGAGCCACTCGTTCAAAACAATGCCGGTTCCTCTTCGATTAGACCCGCTTCTTCCTTTTCCCATTTAGGACACTCGTTTTTATAGTGACCAAGCTCACCACATTTGTAACATCTAACGTGACTTTTATCCCGGACACGTTCATTACCATCTCGACTTCTCCCGGACCCCCGACCTCTTCCCCGGCCACGTCCAAAGTCATCCCGATTTGAACGTTCATTGCCACAATGCTTACAAACATGTGACTTTTCGTCACTAGCCAACAACAACCCACCTTGAGTGTCCTCCACTTTCTCGGTTCCTCTTATACGTTCCTCGTATGCCTTCAATCTACCAACCGCTTCATCGAATAACATTGAATCCAACTCGAAACATTGCTCTATTGAAGCCACGATTTGAAGAAACGACTTAGGCATCGAATCTAGTAACCTTTTTACCAAATCACCTTCTTCAAGCTTATATCCAAGACTCCTTGCTTTTGACGCTAAACCGGATAATTTTGTCACAAAATCATCAACCGTTTCATCCTCCTTCATGCGTAAACTTTCAAGCTCCCTTTTTAAGGTTGCAAGTCGAGCTGTTCTCACCCGATCCACTCCCAAATACCGTGTTTTTAGCCCATCCCACACTTGTTTTGGGTCGGTGTAACTCGCCATTTGCAACACCATGTCTTCGGGTATCGCTTGAAACAAAAAGGCAAGAGCTTGTTTTGACTTCTTTTGATCTGGTGCTTTATCTAACGTTTTCGGTTCGACCGTCTCCCATATGCCATGTGCATCCCTAATCGACTTGACTTTAACCGCCCACACCGGATAATTCGTTGGAGTCAAAACCGGAACTTGATATGTCAACGAACCTCCTTCTTTAACCAACGACATCCTTTTCTCCTTAACCCCGGCTTCTTTAATCAAGCTTGTTCTGAGAGCACTCTTCCACCGGACAACAAGACAAGGTCACGACCACCTTTACCGTCTTCCGTCACCCGCAAAACGAACCAAATCATAGCCACCCGCTTTGACGTCTTCTCGTTCGTTTACTCCGCGCCTCCAGTTAGTCTCTCACAAGCCCGATTAAAAGAAACCGGGGTTGCTTCTAATCAACCTCGAATCACACCCCTTCAACGAAACCGCGCTCTGATACCAAGTGTTGGATTACTTGGGTTGAAACTTGTGTAAATAACAAGCAAAAAAATAAACCCTTATGCAACAAGTAAAAAGAATACGTGAGAATGGAAGAATTGAAACAAATATATTACTTGAACAAAAGTAAACTAGAAAAGGTCATGCATAAAAAAAATACCACACCATTGATCCTATTTATACTAGACAAATAAGTATCCTACTTGAATTCTAAAACTATGCAGGATATAAAATAAAAACTTAAATATGGCTACTTTCCTAATTGCCCATTATTTAAACTAAACAAAATTAACTCCTAAAATAATAAAACCGATTAATCCAACAATCACCCCTTAATCGGTTTGGTCATACGAGCCACTCGTTCAAAACAATGCCGGTTCCTCTTCGATTAGACCCGCTTCTTCCTTTTCCCATTTAGGACACTCGTTTTTATAGTGACCAAGCTCACCACATTTGTAACATCTAACGTGACTTTTATCCCGGACACGTTCATTACCATCTCGACTTCTCCCGGACCCCCGACCTCTTCCCCGGCCACGTCCAAAGTCATCTCGATTTGAACGTTCATTGCCACAATGCTTACAAACATGTGACTTTTCGTCACTAGCCAACAACAACCCACCTTGAGTGTCCTCCACTTTCTCGGTTCCTCTTATACGCTCCTCGTATGCCTTCAATCTACCAACCGCTTCATCGAATAACATTGAATCCAACTCGAAACATTGCTCTATTGAAGCCACGATTTGAAGAAACGACTTAGGCATCGAATCTAGTAACCTTTTTACCAAATCACCTTCTTCAAGCTTATATCCAAGACTCCTTGCTTTTGACGCTAAACCGGATAATTTTGTGACAAAATCATCAACCGTTTCATCCTCCTTCATGCGTAAACTTTCAAGCTCCCTTTTTAAGGTTGCAAGTCGAGCTGTTCTCACCCGATCCACTCCCAAATACCGTGTTTTTAGCCCATCCCACACTTGTTTTGGGTCGGTGTAACTCCCCATTTGCAACACCATGTCTTCGAGTATCGCTTGAAACAAAAAGGCAAGAGCTTATTTTGACTTCTTTTGATCTGGTGCTTTATCTAACGTTTTAGGTTCGACCGTCTCCCATATGCCATGTGCATCCATAATCGACTTGACTTTAACCGCCCACACCGGATAATTCGTTGGAGTCAAAACCGGAACTTGATATGTCAACGAACCTCCTTCTTTAACCAACGACATCCTTTTCTCCTTAACCCCGACTTCTTTAATCAAGCTTGTTCTGAGAGCACTCTTCCACCGGACAACAAGACAAGGTCACGACCACCTTTACCGTCTTCCGTCACCCGCAAAACGAACCAAATAAAAGCCACCCGCTTTGACGTCTTCCCGTTCGCTTACTCCGCGCCTCCAGTTAGTCTCTCACAAGCCCGATTAAAAAGAAACCGGGGTTGCTTCTAATCAACCTCGAATCACACCCCTTCAACGAAACCGCGCTCTGATACCAAGTGTTGGATTACTTGGGTTGAAACTTGTGTAAATAACAAGCAAAAAAATAAACCCTTATGCAACAAGTAAAAAGAATACGTGAGAATGGAAGAATTGAAACAAATATATTACTTGAACAAAAAGTAAACTAGAAAAGGTCCTGCATAAAAAAAATACCACACCATTGATCCTATTTATACTAGACAAATAAGTATCCTACTTGAATTCTAAAACTATGCAGGATATAAAATAAAAACTTAAATATGGCTACTTTCCTAATTGCCCATTATTTAAACTAAACAAAATAAACTCCTAAAATAATAAAACCGATTAATCCAACACAATCCACATGCCAAAGTTGTTCGAGGGTGGGCCCAATTAGTTATCACTTCTTGCTCATCGCCACTGTCATAGACCCCTTATTCTGTTACTTGTTGTCAGTGAATAAGGTACAACCCTTAAGCACGCATTTAAACACTGATAAGTATATATGAAAACCGGTGCCATCTCATCTAAAATTTGACATTTTGTTCGTGTTATTTCCAAACTATGATGGTGAGTTAAATGTTCTTGTAACCGTGCTTGTGAATTGGCATAATATATACACTTCTTTTTAATTGTTTGATCTCTTACTAATCTAGTATATTATTATCTTCCTTTACATGCTTACTTTTTTTGGAAGCAAGGGTTTAAGTGCATAGGAATTGATTCAGGAACGACAACACCCATTGTGGTTTTCAGAAGCATCATGGACCTTATATTCCTCATGCACATGCTTGTTCAGGTAAACCTCTAGCTTTTACAGTTCTCTTTATTTTATATATATATATATATATATATATATATATATATATATATATATATACACACACAACACATACACACACACATACACACACACTTAGGTTACTTACTCGTTTATTACACGGATTGATTAAAAAAATTAAATAGAAAACAAAAATTAAAGATTTTTTTAAACGGTATTTTAATAGGACTCGACTAAAATGAGGAATAAGTAGGTATATTAAGTAATACAAATATTGTTCAACAAATCCATTTTTGGTCTCTACATTTTAGTGATTTCTTGCATTTGAGTGTTTTAGCCATAGAAACAACCACTTCATATCTTGAAAACTACTTCATCTTTCATCTAAAATAAATAGAAAAACTCATTAATAATCACCCCAATCTTATTTACAAATGTTTTAAATGTTACTGAAACTTTTTGGGATCCAATGTAAATGTTACTGAAACTTTTTGGGATCCAATGTGAAGATGTGGTTAAACTTGAAGTGATAATTATGAAAGATGATAAAAAATGGTTTTTATAAAGTAAAAGAAAACTAAGAAGACTTTTTGACTATTGTGTTCACCTTGACAATGGAAGTTTGTTATGAACCTAACACCATTTTTTTAACATTATATTCATTCAAATAAAAGCAGCTTTCCAGAAAAGTACCAAAAAAGTATATAGAAAAGTATATGGAGACTTGAATACCGATTGAAAAAACTAAATAAAATTACTTCTATATATTGATCGGTATCAGTGAAAACAAGGACAAAAGCTTGAATGAAATCCTAACCGGTATAGTTGTAAGTTAAATTGTTGGTATCTATGCAAAGTCGGGTTTAACGTCCGAAAAGTTACAAATAGATTTTTCATTTTAAAATAGATTAATCAATTAAAATCTTTTTACTTAAAATCAATAACCGACATTCATTTGTTTGAAACCATAGTGTTATTAGAGATGAATTTACAAAACATCGGAAACCAAAATCTTCAGTGCGTGTGAACAGTCCCGCCAAGTTCTTCTCACAAACAAACTGGAAAATATTTTATCCATAACTGTAAAAAGTTCCCTAATATACCACATATTCCACTATATATACAATGCATACAAGCGAAGTACTCGACTCTAGCGCCGAAAAACCACATATCCTACCCACATACATATATTATACATAACGGGTGCAACCCTCACTCACATAACAGGCTTTGCCCAAACATACATAACGGGTCCCGCCGAAGGAGTATAACGGGCCCAATCGAAACTCTCATAATGGGCCCCACCTAAACATACATAAT